GTCTCACTGGGTTGTTGTTGTTTTTGTTGTCTGCTGCACTTGCTTTTTCTTTTACTGCTTAAATTTTTTTTACCAAAGAGTTGTATGGATCTTCTCGATAATACATTATCAAACTGTAAATGTAAAGTATCATGCATAAAATTTGCAGTTCTTAAATGTTTTTAGCTAATAGTAAAAAAGGGGTAGACAGACGGAACTTTTTTTTTGTGGGGTGGGGGGGAAGAAGACAAAGCCACTTGTGGGATTCTTCAGGATGGCCTCAACATCATCTCAAAGAAATAAAGAATTAATCAATTACAATACAAGTCAAACACTCAAACTACTAAAGGACCTAAATGAAATATTGAAGAATAACAGAATGAAGATCACCAAACCACACGGAACTATACACAAATATCAAACCCATCTAGTTTTTTTTAAAGCCATCCCAGCTAGTTCTTTTTAAAGCCATCCCAGCTAGTCATTATCAAATGCCACACTGCTGTAATTAAATCCCGAGCACCCTTGGGAACATGGACATAGATGTCTCCGCCATCCAGTGCAGATTAACTTCACATTGACACAAATAACTGTACAATATTGGCTGAGCGAGGATATGCACACGTAATTCCACTGTAAATCACTATAGCCTAACCGTCAAAACGAAAAATTGAGCATAACAGATTCTATAACCAAACAGAAGTTGAATTAAATATATAGGTTCAGCAATCCTTTGCTTGCCACAACATCCAGAGGAATCGAAGGCAGGATTAAAATTTGTTAACTTGCCACTAGCCAGATTGAATAGTAGATTACATTATCAACTTCCCCCTCCGCTCCACTCAGTCAAGTAACTGAATTTCACCTGTTCCCAGCCCTTTCACCTTAACTGTTTCTCTGCATGGATTCCATCTCCTAATTTTTTATTCAAGGCCATGATCAATGCTCCAGAAAATGCTTATTGAAAGAAAAGAAATATAGATCTCTAAGTTGTTAAGTTCTTCATTCTTTGAAAAATTGGACTCCTCAGTTACAAACCTGTGTCTTAAGTTTTTTAGTTACCAAATTACTAGTGTTCTCAACTTCTCATCAATCTTATCTCTTTTGCAAGTGAAGTTCACACAATCTACCATAGAAATGCAACTCATTCCTCAAGCGGGACACAGTAAAGAGCTCTGGCAGAAGATATTGGCACAAACCAGCCCTCGAATAATTCATATGTCAAGATAAACACTGTTACTACTTACATTATCATTCTTACTTATGTTAAGATAGTTCAGCACCAAATCAACCTCAATGCGACGGTTTCCTAGAACAAAAAGGTGATTAAATGGAAACCCTGGTAAGCATATAATTTTCCTGTTAAGTCAAGAAAGAACTGGAAAAACACGCAAAATGGCCCTCAACAATTGTGTCCGCCATTTCATGCATTCTTCATACAAAAGACTTGAACTTCTTGAAGCGTATTAACTAGCTTTTTCTAAGGCATGACAGAATCGCATTCACCATTCTCGTAACTAAAATTCACCAGTTTTTCAGTCGGAAAAAAAAGGAAGAGATTCCATACATAAAGTTCCAAAGAGGAATTGGCCCCTATTGTAAGATAGGCACCTAAAAGCATCCATCAGAGAAATGCATTAAGCAATAATGCACAAAGGTGAAAGAAAGACATATAGTCATCATATTTTATGTCACATGAACTAATTCACAAGTATGTATCAAACAGACGAACAGAGAGGGAACAAGCAAAGTAGGGTGACAAAGGTGCACACCATTTTTTGCAGAGCCTGTACCAAGCTGCCCATGTTTATTCCAACCAAAAGCAAATGACTGTCCATCTTCAGTCACTACCACTGTGTGGCTCCTTCCAGCTGCGGCTCTAATGATTTTATGCCTGAAATGAAAAGGTTTTATTTAATGACAGAAGTAGATATATAATAGACAAAGGTTTCAGGAGATATGGACTAACCATAGAGGGAACTTAAGAAGGGTACTGGAAGCATTTCTTGCTTCTATACACATATACATTCAGTTTAAGCAATAAAATGTTTGCTGTACCTTATAAGAAAGGGAAGCAAGAAAACGAGCCCAATAACACCTCCCTCATAAGAACTACAAATTTGAAATCATCTACATATGCGCTTAAATTATCATAACAACCTATATATTGTTTAAAGCCAACTCATGTTGTTCCTAATATTCCAAGTTGCAGTCAAGAGGCATGACCAACCATTTAATTAAACATAAAATAAAGTTGTAGCATTATGGCATCTTATGAATATCAAACCTACAACTTAGTTTCCTCATGGCTATAGAGGCGACTAACTTTTGCAGAATGCTTAACCGACCTCAAACAATGACGAAACAAAATAAAGGTAGATTCTTTTTTGTTAAGCAAATAAAAAAGAAAGGTAGGACTTTGTCCCAACGTTTTCAACAAAGAGAGAACCAAAGAGCTATCAGCAGGGGGGGGGGAAATAGGGCAAAATTTAGGGTTTTGAGAAAACCAAATAACTATAAGCAGGGGAAAATAGGACAAATATAGGGTCTTTAGCCATAGGGTACGTTATACCACTGCAACCAATACTCCATTGTGGTAACGGGTTTGAACTTGGTAAATATTTCCAAAAAAACAGCTATATCTGTCATTGAAGGAAGACACAAGCAAAGAACAACTTACTTGGAGAGTTCAGAAACAACAGTTGGTCTATCACGTGTAATTTTATCTCCATGACCAAGCTGCCCTTTCTGCAAAACCACAATACTTCACATTACAGTAACAAAAGCAGCATAAACAGGCAAAGGTAAACACAAACAAAACAACTTGCCTCATTCCTTCCCCATGTATAGCAACGTCCTTCAGTATCTAGTGCTACACAATGACAAGAAGCTGCATTCCCACCACCATGTAAGGGAAAAAATGAAAAAGAATAATAGCAGAATCACTAAAAACAATAACTTTGACTTAATCCAAACTAATCGGGGTCGAGCATATGAATCCTCAACATACATTCCACTACATTTTCAAACTAAAAAGATTTTTAAAAAAAACACAATACAAGTGTAGCAATACAACTAAGCAAAAAACATTTTTAAGGGGAAAAGCAAAAAAGAATATAATATACCGCAGCCAGAGGCAACGAAACAAATGTTGACACCAACAAGCGGTCGAAGTCTCGTCGGAGAAATCAAATTCCCTTCCGCCACTTTCCGGCGACCAACAGCATCCCAACCAGTACATCCACAAAACAGCAGCTCACCACCCTTCACCACCCCTTCCTCCACCGTCTTCTCTGCCTCTACCTCCGACATCTCCGGCGAACTCACTCAACGGTCGAAAAAATTCAAAAAAACGTAGATCGAAATGAAACGTAACCTCAGCACAACAAAACTGCCGGTGATCGGCAGAGTAACGGAGATTTGAAAGGAATCGGCGGCAAACGGGTCTATAAGCAAAACAAAGTAATAGCAGTAGTTTCAGAAAGTGAACATCAGAAACCCTACAAAATAACGCTATTAAAAGAAGATTTTAATTTGTATTTGTGTATTCCGAGAATTTGAGGCTTTATATTAAATTTGTGGGTCGAAAGTGGATATACGGATTGGTGGAATGGATAATTATAGTGCTTTGCTTTTTCTTTTGTTTTTCTTTTTTCGCTTTTTCTTTAACTCAACTCAATGCAGTGTGATTTTTTTGAATTTGGAAAATTAGAAGAAACTATATACTATACAATATGTACGTTATGTTCGATTTAGTGGTCGCTGTCGGATAGATATTTTTTATTTTATAGGAATTTGCGACATTTGTGTAGGGTTTAAGGGTTTTGTCCACTGGAGAATTTTGATTCGTTTTCCTATGGGGTGGAGGGCATATGCCCTTTTTTTGGACTCTTTGGTCATTATCTAGTTGCTCTTTTTGGATTTTTCTCTTACACCTTCCACTATTTTTCTTTTTTTATATGCTTAATTAAGTAGCAGTGATCCTATGACCATAGGTTTTCAATTGTATATCGCGATTTCAAGTTGCGATCTCAATTGATTGTACTGGGTTGTTGTTGTTGTTGATCTCATGTTAATTATAGAAAACTATAAATATTACGTATACCATGTCGTTTGTAGTTTAGATTATATGACAATGGTGTCTAGCCAGTATATATCAATTCTATTATTTCATAGAGTATTTTCTATGTCGTACAAGCACAAGTATCAAGTAATCTTGTCTACGAATTAGGTAGGTTTAAAAAAAAATATTTAATATCCCCTCGACGTCGCGTAGCCTTTTTGTAATAGCTTTCATTAATGCAATCAAGCTTTCATTCCCAATTTTCAATTCTGTTTTCTCAATTGTTCATGACATTGATTTTTCCGTACATCTCGTCTAGCGTACTGAAGGGACCTCAGTTGGCGGATAGTAACTGCACTGACATCTGTTGCTTAGCCTTACGTCGCCCTTCGAAGGAATCTCAGGAAGGCGCCGCGTAACCGTTGGTATGCTGAAATTTGAACTCTGATTTCTAAGATATGAAGGCAGTTCATCATTGTACTTCAGATTACTAAAAGCATTAAACAACAAAGTTTCATTACATTAGACAACATTACTTTTGGTGCATTTCCTTGTCTCCACCTTTTACTACTTTTCTTTTTCCTTGTTTCATTTAGCCTCCTTTAGTCAAATGGGGTTAAACTAACTCTAAACTTGAACTAATACTTTTTTGTGAGAGGAGATATGGTCTTATACTTTGCAAGTACAGAGTAAGAAGGAAGACCACCACATAAAAAGACTTGTACATTGTAAGAGCTCAGCAACAGCTGGGGATCAATCCAAGTATATTGTTCTAAACTTACCAAAGTTTCATCAACAGATTCCAATCGTATGACGTGCGTCATACGCTTAAGAAAGTTGGAAAGACAACATGCACTAAGCAGACTGAACGATAGGTTGCAGTAGTAGTAGAAATCCAGAGGAACTGAGACTAACTAAGATAGTCAGCCCTCAATTTCCTTGGAACTAGAGAACAGTATAGGAGAAAATATTGGCTCAAAGTTTGACTCCAATTTATTGTCATAGTCATTTCCAATGAACAAAATAATGTTTAAAACATAGAGAATAAGGATTGTACCAGAAATGTGTAAAAACCCTTGTATAAATACTATGTAAAACTCAGGTTCTCAGCACTGTGCATAGCATGAGATACCAGTAATAGGTAACGAACTTTTTGGTTTCATTTGAAGACGATCTTCACCTCCTCAATTGTCTGTATCGCCCACTAGGCGGATGCAGGTGTGGCTGAAGCCGATGATGCAGTGGTTGGTTTTCCAACGGATAATTGTTGGATTTGACTAGGCTGCTGTCGCTGCATCGGGAACATATTATGCTTCACTGGCATCCGTTGTATCATGCTATTAGGCAACCGTCCTTCCTCCCTAAGTTCCCCTGCTGCAAGCTTCAAACGCTGGACTTCCGAAGTTAATGCCTCATGCAGAGCTGAAGAGGGAAAGCTAAAGTTACAAATGTCCATCTTTGCGGGTAGGTGCATCGAAAAGACACCCACATAGTTTCACATATATATATATATATATATATATATATATATATACAGAGCAGGCATGATAGAACAATATAACTTGTACTACCTTAAATTTACCATAAACTTATTCTAAAGCAATCAACAAACATGGGCAAACTTGCTCTGTGGCACATTTAATTTTCTAATGCCTTAGCCTTCAGAGCTTTCATAAAGGAATTATTTGGTACAAATATTGCAACTTTTAAGAGAAAATTCCACCCTAATTAACTTAGTAAACCAAATAAGAAAAAAAAATATGTATGGAGTCAATGGAAAGATGCTGATGTTGGGGTAAACTGTTAAAGAAAATCATGATTTTCTGAGCAGGCCTGTTCATTATTGGTTAGAATCAAATTAATCCTACTGAAACGACTACATTAAATATTTAGGTTCACTGATTCAGTTTTTGGGTCAGTTCTCAGAGAGGGAAATTGAAATTTTCGCAGCACTTACATTTTGAAAATTTCCAACCAAACAAACAAAAGTGATTAAATAGTGATTGATTGTGCATCAATTTCACATAACATTGAATTGGTATTGTGGTTAGTAACTCCTCGTTTGTGTACGTGCCCCATCCATCTGCCATTTAAACTTTACGTAATCGAATTTGCATCCCCTACTTACTTTTCAATTATCCTGAAAGGCTTTTCTCATACTAATCTCTTCTCCTCTGTTTTCTGTCTCACATAGAAGTACTTCATAAAACCCATCTACTCAATTATGAGCTCACTAACACCATTAAAATCTCCTTCCTCCCATTTTCTTCAAACAATAGCAATAAAAACAATATGCAGAAGGCTAGAGCCATGAAGTTCAAATCAGGTTAACTTGCAACCTTTTCTTTCGACAAAACTTAAATGCCTTTTTTGTTTCTATAAAACTACTTATCCAGCTGTTTTCAGCGACCACCCAAATATTTCTAAACATCTTCAAGTTTTATGATTTTATTTTTAAGAGGTAATTGTCACACCAAACAAACACATTACAAAAATAAAATAGTTTTTTTAAGACAAACTAAGGATATTATCACATTGGGAGGATGCAAGCAAAATACAAAGGAGGTGTTCCCCCTATTTTGATAAGAGGTTCTATGCAGATAAATTCATTTTGCCAAAACAAATTGAAAATTATCAGCATAGAACTTCTTATCTTGAAAGAATACCGGAAATGCATTAATCGAATAAACTTCAGTTAAGTTCAAGGCAGATGGAGGCCACCAATATCTAAAACAATCTATGAAACTAAGTTGATACTCTTAGAATGTACTTGATGGAGATTATATCTTTTCAAACTACAGAAAAGGAAACAAGAAACCAATAAAAATTGGAAAGCTTTCCACAAAATTTTGCAAAAACTCCAAAAAATTGATGACTTTAAGTCTTTAATGACAACTTTCAGAAAATACTCATTAAAGTATATTTTAACTTATAAACGTTTATACTGTGAAACATTTTATTTCGGCCGCTTCCCAATTGTAACACACAAGATACCTTTTTGCAACACACTAGATACTTAGAAACCAAAAGAAAATGAAAGCGGAAAGGTAATACCATCTCTAAGTTGTGCCTGTTGTTCCATGGCTTGAACGCGGAATTTCAGCTCACTGTTCAGGCTTGAGATCTCAGTAAAATCTTTCTGTACCAAGTATATGAAAATCCAATAAAAAAAACTGAAAAAAAGAAGCGTTGAAGGAAAACCACAACATTTTCTATAGGCACCTGCAGGATGGTAACTTGTGTGGATAAAGTAGTGGCTTCTGTCTGTAGCTTTTGAACCTTATATTCCAATTCTGAGATGTAACGCAATTTACGCTCCTTGGATCGAGCAGCAGATTGACGATTAGCCAATATCCTGAGGAATGAAACTGTCAAGTAAGATTTGCATACATGGCTTTTCGATATTATGGACAACCAAAAGTTGGGCTTCTTAAAGGGATACAAATATATACAAGAATCTTTTAGCAGCTAATCTCCATACCTTTTGGCACGCTTTGGATCTGAAACTGCAATCTCAGCAAGTCTTTCATCTGCCATAATCTTCTTCATCTCAGCTTCACTAAATTCAGCATTTCCAAAGTCAAAATTGCGCTGGCTCGAACTTTCATTTCCTGAATTACTAGGTGAAAGCTGACCGGAATGGTTTACTAGAGAAGCTGGTAACTTTGGTGACTCGTCTCCATAGTGAAAACCTCCAATTGCACTATCCATGGAAAGACTCCTAAAGTGACGCGTGGTTGGAGCAATATCTGCATCGGCACTCCTCTTGATCCCTTCCCTTAAACTTGTCAGTTGGCTGCTAACACCGTTCCCTTTCAAAAGACTTTCTGCTTCATTGTTGCTGCTCTCATTACCGCTTACCTTTGTACCACTAACCATGCTGCCCTTATCTCTATCCTCAGTGCCAGAAGAGTTCAATGCCTCTATATTTTCCAAATTCATGTAGGAAAACAACAACTCATCCGTAACCTCTCCCCTTGATTTCCTCTCACCAATTCCCTTTACATCAATCCTTCCATTACTACTCAAACCCATTGGCTGTTTCTGCAAATCAATTGTTTTTTCCCTCCCCGAGCTATCCCCAAGATTCACTGCTCTCCCTGAAATTCTCTGCCCACTTATGGGCATCAACTGAGGCGAAGACTGAATCATATCCGAGAATCCTAACGGAACATCACTATTAGATCGACGATGTCCTTTCCGAGGAGGAAGACCGTCACTACCCCGCAACGCATTTTCCCTTACAAGGTTAGACACAACTTTTGGAACTTGACAATTCACATCTACTTCCTCCATGGATGTGTCCTTCAAATTAGCATTAGCCGACACCATCGACGGCTCGCTAGGAGGTAAAGGGCTCAAAGGGGGCAAACAATTATTCAAAAAATTGCTTGGTTGAGATAAAGACCTCACATGACAAGCTCCCACACCGAAATTGTGACTCATAGGTGGCTTAGAATTAGACTGAGCCATCAGAATCAAGCAAAGATTCAATTTTTATGACACCCTAATCAAACTGGAAATGTTTACAAACAATTATATTCGGAATGATCAAACAACTTCAGCAATTTCTATTAGATTAATCAAAATTTCAGCTCACTGAAAAACCCTAAAGAGACTGCTTCAAAACCCAAAAACCTGATTAAACCCAAAACCCAATTCAAGTAATTAATTTCAGTACAGATAAAAACCTTAACCAAAGATGAACAAGACAAGAGTGCGAAGAACTAGGAAGAAATGAAGTACCTGAATATATGTCAAGAATTTAAGGAGCCACAGTCTAATATAATGAAACAAACGTGCAAACGTTGTTCTTAGTGAAGTTTGGGGGGGGG